ACATTTTCCTATTGTATTCTAAAAATAAATGACATTAATTTCAAGCAACGGTGTGCCATAATGTTTTGCTTCAGACGGGCACAGTGCAGCGGAAACTCTTGCTAAACTTCAGCAGACCTATGGAGATAGTGTTTTGTCAAGAGCCCGGGTTTTTCGGTGGCTTAAGCCATTTTCAGACGGGAGAGAGCCGATTGAAGATGAATCTCGAAGCGGAAGGCCTTCATCTTCAGAATCCGGGATTTTGTGCGCTCAGATAGTGGGTTGACAGTCAGAATGATAGGGAAAGAGTTAAATTTAACTCACAACACCGTTCATCAGATCAACAAAAACTGGGTGTGGCATAACAATAATGCTTCTTGTCACTTAGCAATGTCGATAAACGAGTTTTTGGTCAGAAACAACATTCCTGTGGCTCCTAGCCTCCTTATTCGTCTGACTTGAGTTTTTTCTTTCCCGTAGTTGAAAAGTCACCTCAAGGTCCATTTTGGGACAGTCGAAAACATTCAAACGGCTGTAACCGATCAGCTGGAGGCTATTCTAGCACTGCTATGATGAGTGGAAGAACCGTCTTCAGCGCTGAGTGGCTTCAGAAGGAAGTTATTTAACAATATAAATTTGTAATTATATTAAAAAAAAACAGCGTCATCAATCAATTTACAGACCTCGTAGGTCTAGTGACCAATTGTGGGCATATTTTTTTAAATATGACCTAAATGAGGTCAAACAATAAAAAATCTTTTGCCTTATCAATCCCAATCAGCAATGCTTTTTTGAATACTCCAAATGGCACGAAATTGGTGGAATCGGTGAACTCAAATGCCAAGGTAGAAAGCAAGTATGTTCTGGTTGTCTCATATTTTGATCTCATTTATGTTTCATCTGTAATCTTATAACTTGCCAAAAAAAGTATTTAGGGTAAAAACTTGTAACAATAAAAAATAACTTTTCAATTCGTAATACATATTTATTTGTCCCGACTTTAATTCCAAAATACCCGATATTTTGAAATTTTGCTCAGATATTTTGGTCATCTCATGTGGTAACCCTATGTGGAAATGTTTACATTTATTTACACATCTCAGAAAGTAAGGTCAAGGCGGTCATTTAAAATAACAATGTAGCTCGGCTGAGATGCATTTTAATTAAAGATGAAGAAATATGAGACAAAAATCTAAGGAGTGATTCTCTCAACTATTTTATTACTATTTTGTCGTTTGATGATTTGCGAAAACCGCCTTTACTTAAAATAAACAGAAGAATCACTTCTGCTCTACGTTTTGAAAAGTAAGATAAGCTTTTTTGAAACCATTATACCAAAAATCTCAACAAGTAGTTGTTCACGATGAAATTCAACGTATTATTAATATTACATGGAACATAATGTAATCACGGTGACTTATTAATCCAATCAATTTTCGTTTGTACGAATAATCTACTTATTTAAAATTTGAACTTTGCAACTTCATGTCTTACATGCCATTTTAAAGATTAAAAATGCAACAATTTTTTTAAGTTAAGCTTCAAGAGCATTTAAAATATGAAAACCTCTGAATAGGGTTACAGTGAATGAAACCTAAAATGAACAAAGTGAAATAGATAGTAGATAAAACGCAGGGTAATTTTAAAACTGGACATTCGATAATAGGACATGGTATATTATGCACTGTACATGTTGCAAAGCCAAATGAGATAAAATATGAGGTATAATTGAAGAAAGAATGTTTTTCATATATCAGCTCCGTAAAAATAAATTTTAAAGTAAAATATCTTAAAATTGCATCAGATTACATTTTACAAATCTATTCATAGGCACTTGAGAACTGTAATTTAATCCTATTTCTTAATATATCTCCATAACTAATAAAAGTATTTATCTGCAGTTTTAACCATTTTATAGAATTTGTTATGCACTTTCCGATCAATATAAAAAAATAATACCGTTCGTTGTATTTGAAATTTTCGACATCTAAAAACAAGCTGACACATCCACAAAGTGCCATCCAGCGGCCACAAATGGAACTAATATGACGAGATTTATCATTCATTATGAGCGCAGGTGAATACACCTTTAAACGAAACCAAGATCAGCAAAATCGGTGAAGCAAAGTCATAAGCTGTGACTTCTTGGGGAATAACATTCAACCCTTCCCCCCGTAAACTAGCCAAAATATAAAAAAATGGCATAAACAAAAAAGTTCAAATTCAGCTGTCAACACGATAAGGCTATTTTATGAATATGTTGATAATAATAGTAATAATGAAAATAATTTAAACCAATTTCTCTTAGGCACTTTTGTTATGATTTTTTTGCCGATAGCTCTAGGTTGAGCGATTGCCTAGATATAGCCGGCAGTTCTTTTTTATTGGCTAACTCGGTACATATGCCGTGTATAAGATATCAATAGCACTAGTTTTCCTTTGTGATTATTTCTACAAAACGTCTCTGGAAATTATACCACTGATTACACGATTCCCCTTTTATATTTTGAAAAATATACAATTACATTGGATTTATTCAATATGTTGTCCATCAAAACGGCAAAAAACAATGCCCATCATATAATTTAAAATCTACCCACGTATTCGCAAAATAAAATATTCACACCAAATTGCATTTAGGTTCGTTATTTATAGCAATGTAATTTGAAATCAGGGATGTTTGAATAAATAACAATAGCGGGGTATTTTTATTGTGAACGCGGTATTTCGCGTAGTCCTCCACACTCTGCGCTGCTCTACCGAATCCCAACAATTTACAATGTAATTAACGCTGACTGGTGCATGGACAGGTTTGTATATACGATTCAATTGAAATATTTAAAACGCAACATGTCATATCAGTAGCGTAACTTTTTTCATGTTTAAGAATTCAGTTTATCACATTTGGTTATCTCCCGCATCCGATGCCTCAACCAGATTAATGATAATGAATGCAGAATCGAACAGGGTAGAATTCAAAAGCGTCTTGTAATGATTGAATCATAACAATTTTCAGATGCACACGCTTACTGCGGATGATATGTGTAATGCAATACAGCACGTTTAAAAAAATGGCGTCAAGTGTACAACCTGTCTAAAAATTAAACTGATCAAGTCAGCCAAACAGGTCCATACAATTAGTCCGTACTCCATAGTCCGCATCCATTTAACAACGCTACTTTCTTCCGTGCCCTAACGGCCGTATCGTCAGTCGTTTCTTCAATTGTAGGTCGTCTTTATAGGAGGCTATGATTTTCATAGTTTTTCCTGTCCTTTATTTATTTTGAGATTATGTTTCCTTTTTGAATTCTAGGAAATTTCAGGCTAATTTAACTTGATTTTTATCATTTGTTTTATCAGCATTAAAATTCTTAAGATTTAAAAAGAAAACATAACCTCACAATAGGAGAGCGTTGACGCTGACATGGAACAGTAGAAATTTAGAAATACGCCAGCCTTTCTGAAGCAGAGAACAGACTATGAAAATCAAGGAGGCCATAAAAGCGTCCTACAATAATTGTAGGAACGACGATACTACATTGTCAGCCGGGTATCATGTAAAAAACTTATAAAACGTCAAAAAACCCTATAAGATGTCAACTTGCAGACTAGGTAGTTTTTAGCGCGCAAACAGTCATTCCACGTTTACTCACTAGGATCGTTGTGAACGTCCATCTATGGAGGAATCACTCAACTAAACTACGCATTATTAGTTGCATAGTTTTGTGAGGCTGAGTGATCCGGGTCTGTAGTTTTTATCTCTAAGAAGAAAGTTGGTTTAATAGCAAGATCGCATCTAGATGATTATGTGTATTGGTTAGTCCAGTTAAATAGCCGAAACTGAGACAAAAGTGATAACATAGCCACAAAGTTATTTCCGCTGGCGTAATGGTGTAATAAAGGATTGCGAATATTGTTGTGTGAATTTGGTTTTCCGGAAACCAGCCGTTTTTTGTAAAACAGCGAAAAACCCGAAAAACCTCTTTTTCGCTGAAACGGCTGAGGATATCTGGGATTTTTTTACACGTAAATTTTTCTAATTTTTGGGCCATCAATAAAGGTGTCTACAAATTTTTCGCTAAATTGCTTAGTTTTCGCGCTACAGCTTGCTGATGGCTTGTGGGCGAGGGGGTTTGCGGGGAAAGGGACGCGCGTACACCTGTCGCCAGACGCCGCACCGTTGAAGCGGAACGATCCTCTTTTATTTCGACGTCCTCAGTGTCTCTCTCTCAGTGATAGGCCAGTCGATTTCGAATAATAATCTCGTTTGTAGTTGTGGCGTTCACCGACTTATGCATATTAATGAATTTTTGAAATTTCTGCGTTTAGAGTACAAGATGCAGTAATTTTTCTTCAGCCGCTTACCGATTGACTGGATAAGTGAGGTATAATATTTTCATTTAGAATTGGAACAACAATAAAAAACCTACAGCTGCAAAAAAGGTGTGAACGTGTATATAAATGAGTGGCAATGATAAGAATACATTACAGGATGTAGAAGCCCAATGAGTCATCAAAAGACTCGCTTTCGAGGCTCCACGTTATTTTCATAGTTATCCTCGCAAATCAGTGTGATCACCGGTAGTTGTTAATCTACAATCATGATAAGAGATTTAGCAGTTTTTGAGCCGCATCTATACGTTGGTCTGACCTACGCCAACGCAAATATGTAAAGAATAGACAATGGCCGATGGTGATGAGTATTTGACGATATCTTCTCTGCACACTCGCTGTGGAAAAACATTACTCCATTATATTTTAATCGAGATAAGAAATTATGTACAAACCATTAATTGGAAGTTGCATCAATTTTTTATATTTTCTATTTTGATAGAGTATAACAAATTATTTTTGTGTTCAAATATGTTTGTTTTACATTTGTTACTTTACATTTCACACATATAGTTGTACAAAAACCCTCACTTGAGCCAATGAAACCTACAATAGCATGTAAGAGGAATTGAAAGTATATACAGTTCAATGTTATATCCACCCCAATCTGTTACAAGTAGGATAAATCATTGAAGGTCAAAGTCATTAAAGTCCTTCGTTAATTTCCTCGTCATCGGTCGTTGCATCGTGGCTGCTTGATGAGGTCTCATCATCTTCTGTTAAGTCCTCATTATCGGGTTCTGTAGCAGTCCATCTCTTTGAGTTGTTGCACGATTTTCCTCGGCATACTTTGCAAGCAGGGTTGCACTTTAGACCGGCTTTTCGGCAGTTACATCGCTTCGATTTGCAGGGCCCTTGGCATCCACAGGAAACCTGAAAAAAGGTTATCATAAGAATTATTATAATCTAAATATCAGTTGTCTTGTAAGGGAAATCAATGACAGGCCTTTTATAGTGCTCCATAGATCAGTCTAAGAATTTGTTATTTTAACTTGAAACTAGATCTCACATTGTTCAAAAATTATTTTAATTCCGGTCAGACAGTACATGAGATCAAAAGTGTAGTAAAAATTAGTTGTAGCAAGTTGTATTTATTGCTTCAAATTGAATACATTTCACACATACCTTTTGTAACAGTTCTTTTGGTGCGGGATCTGCTTCAGACATGATCGGAATGAGAATATTACCCTGTCTTGTCCATCCCCACAAGCAGGGATCTAATCTATGCTGAAGCCACACCTGGATTTGATAGTACACTCGTTTACAGTGCTGAAGCAAGGCAGGAGATGTTGGTGGCAGACATTCTAGGGGCGTTTCCTTTTTTGCCTTTGCTAAGTTTGTAGAAAACAAATTGTATCTGAAAGTCCCGCGAGAAGAAGACTGTTCTTTGTCTTTGTATAGTGCGAGAGTAATCGTCTCTGCACATTGCAGCAATTCGTCTTCCAAGCAGTCCGGCTCGTAAAACTTCAGCGCCAGCGCTCTAATGCTGTCGTTCTGCAGCAGCAACTTCACCAGCTTCATCTTCCCTTTCCCAAAAAAGCAGCTAGTAGTGTCGCAGCCCGCAAAGGCATGAGCAAAAAGTAGAAATGGTTGCAAATGTTTGTGATCCCGAGTATCGTACAATTGGTTCGCCTTGCCCCCCTGGCCCATCTTGTAATAGTACATGCTCTCTGAGGTTGGAGTGAGTCCAATAAGTAATATTAAGAGATCAACATCCTAGCCGACGACTATAACTCGTGATTTCCCGTGACGAAACAATTCGTTATGAGTCTTCAGAGCTGTTCTCACAATCTCAACATCCGCATCCTCTTTCGCATGGATCACGGTAAAACTGAATCCCTCATATGTTGCAAGAGTTTGACCAAGGTGATAAACAAATTGAGCCTTGTTTTTCACGTTGGACAAAAATGTCCTTTGGTTCAATGGGACGAGATTGTCTGGTTCAATTTCAACGTCCACGCCACAATTTCTTTCTTGTCTACGGTCTCGCTCGTATGATTTGACACCTATATGTTCATCTTCATATCCGTCGAAAACAATAATGACGCTCCGACCAAACCGCTGAACAAGAAAGTTCTTGTACATATCAAAGATTGCACGGTATGTCTTACTATGAGGCCAGACGAGGCTGTGAAGCAACCATCCTCCGTCTACAACAAACTGAGAATCTTCAAAAAATGCTCGTGAGGATAGGGTAGTAGTGAACATTTTATATAACTGTGACTTGTCGGTCTTTCGCATTGATCCTTTCTCGTCGAACAAACTAAGTGGAACAGGAGACATTTCGTAGTCGAAGCAAGATTTACTCAACTCTTTCCTTCCACGCATAGCCACAGACAGACGTTGAAATAATAGAGAGGTATCAACAGTGACAGTGGAAGACATAGCTTTTTGAGATTGTGTCCGTGCAAAGTCCAAATTCTTGATCTTGTACAATTTTGACAGCGACACCTTTTCATAAGTGCGTCCAACTATATGACACATTGCTTGTGTGCCACGCTCGAAAGCCATATGACAATTTATTTCCACACCACCAACAACTCCAGTTGACAGCGAAATTAATTCCTCGCGGACTTTGAATGGTTCATGCCCCTTCAACCAAGTAACGAATGAGGCAATGTCCTTTGCGTCCCATGCTTTTCGTCCTTTGCCCAAATCAACATGCTGCTCACTGTTTCTCGTCTCCAGGTTACAATACTCTTCCAATGCTTGCATCACATGCACGGCGCAAGGCATCCCCAGCAAATATCGAGACACGACACTCCGCGTAACACCTCTTCCGTGTTTCAAGTCAGTTCCAAAAAACCTATTCAATGTCTGCTCGATTGTCATGTCACTCCAGATTCCGGACCAAGCCTTATCCGACCTGTGGATACTGAAATAACCCTGCGTGGCAAACTGGTGAAACTCTTGAGGATCCATGATGTCCTGTAGAAGTACCATATCCTGCAAATAACCCTGCGTGGCAAACTGGTGAAACTCTTGAGGATCCATGATGTCCTGTAGAAGTACCATATCCTGCAAATAAATCTGAGCTGCTTTTGCATATTGAAAATGTCCCGCGGCATGAAACAATGGCAACATTCTTCGAACGCCATCAAGATGAAGGTCCCAGTTTCCAAGACGTTCTGCTTCAATAAAACGCAAGACAATAAGCACGGCTTCAATGTACTGCACCCACAACTTGGCTGTTGGGCCGTTATTTTTCAATTGCTTCAACTTTGTATAAAACAAATCAGACATTTTCTTCAGGTCCTTATCAGAGTCACTGTCCCCTAGCTTGAGAGGATTTTTCTGCCAGACACGCATCAATGATGCGATAACCCCTTTGATCTCGCCTTTTTCTTCGATTGAATCACAAATTACGATGCCTAAAGCTGTAAACGTCAAAATGTGTGCTCGGACTGCTCTTGAATAATTGTGCCCGTCCATCATTTTCTTTATGGATTCACTAGCGTAAGCAAGCTCCCACATAGATTCAAGTCCGCTTCCTCCCATGATAATACCTATTGCTCCCAAAAAAGACATTAACATGTGGAATCCGCCTAAGCGAACAAAAACGTCGGGCAACATTAACTTCGCTATAATATCGCGACATTTCATGTACAACGGCAAGTCGTAAGTTAAGATAGTGGTTTTTTGACCACATTTACGGGTTTCGCTCTTTGCATGCATGATTGATGTATAAATGGTTGTTAGACTAGATGGAACTTCGTTAATGAATTGTTGGCATTGCACCCCCGACCTTTGGAAACTTTCATTTTCCGAACATATCTCCATGAAACCTCGCCATGCTGGTACATTCTCAGGATCAACGTATTTAGCCCACAAATAAGGTGAGTAAGTAGGGGGGAATAGAGGCATGTCGACCATGGTCAGTAAATTTGTATCGATGAATTCTATAAGTTTCAAGCCCTCTTTTGGCGGCTCGACGTAAGGGAAGATTGGAATTTGTTCTTGCTTTGCAAGGATATTTGCGGAAGGCATCTCGGTAAGTTTTTCGACACTTCCACATTGTGTGATTTCGTGCTCCGGAGTGTAAACCTGTATTCCGCCTAAACAATGGAAAGTCTCCCGTCCGTCCAGGGTCCTGACGTTGTGGTCAGTATTATCAAATACAAATTGTACGAAAGGTTTTTCGATGATCAATCTGGGTGGATTCACTATTGTTGAAGCCTCATACAATTCAATATTGTAGTAAGAAGTGCAAACGCCTAATGCATGCAGAAGATTTATGATGTACTTGGAACCTGTTTTTCTCAGAATCAATGTCCCAATCGACAAGTGGAGGGTGGACAAAAACATACGTGGCTGAATGAATGAAAGTATGCATTGAGATATCATGTCTCGCTTCACAGACTTTGCTTTTTTATCTTCCTCTTCGTCAGCGATAAGGAGAAAGTGCTCAATAAAGAACGAAAAGTGGGGTGGATAATCGGAGGAAAGATCGCTTACAAATTGATTGGACGGTGGGTACTTATCGCTTACAAATTGCTTGCTACGAATCTCTCTGTGCATTATATTTGAGGCCTGAAGCAAAATAACTTGTATCTGCCCTTCTGTGAAAGTTGATGGGTCTGCTGACACATTAAAAACATGATGACTTTTGAAGCATACACGTATATCTTTTCCCCCCATTATACTGCACTCAACTTCCTCACCGTAACGCTTTTAATGTGATCTGCTACAGTCCTTCTATCTATAGAGTCATCATCCACAAGTTCTACTAACTTCGACAAATAATGAATAACATTTTTGTCTTCTTCAAGAACTTGCCACACAGGTTCTAACAATGAATCGATTCTAGACCAGTTTAGATCATCGATATTTTTTTTTTAAACCATACGCGTTGAAATGAGACATGCATGTCCGGTGGTATCTGCCTTGTACGCGAATTAAGCAAGAAATGTTCTCTAATCTTTCAACAACGCTAATTCCCAAAGAGTCATTTCTTTCCTTTCCCATTGCAATCAAGTTATCACGCGTCTCTTTTTGTGTGACTGTACAGATTTTTGTTTTCGCATCTTTTATTATACTCAAACCACAAATGAAGCAATTATCAGCGTAATGGAAATCAGGAACCTCATCCCTTGCAGCTACGACATTGTTATTTGGTGCATTCAACGCAAAATGCTGAGTATACGTTCCACTGACCGAGTATGAAAGTCTACACTTCTCATGGCAGTCCAGTTTTTCCTTTTTTTCCCAATCCAACCATTTTTTGTCTTCCACGCGTTTGCTCTGTGTGATCAGTGTACTAATTCCCTTCTTCCCCACGATCCTGCAATTGCCGCGCGCCATCGGATAACTGCAAATGGCGCAGTTACTATTTTGCTGCATTTTATTCCTATTGAATAACAGAAACAATTTCAGTGAGAATCGGTATCCAGTAAGTGTAATGCAATTTTCGATCCAGTAAGTCTAATTTGTCTGATTTTTGTTATTAATATCAGAACATAGTGCTAATGGAATTCCAAGACATGCTGAATTTTGGACAACATATACTGAATTTGGACTGCACTACTTATTATTAAAAAATACTATACTAACATTGGAAAATGAAAACAAATTTCGTTAAAAAATCCATGGCGGATAACTTTTCGAATTTTAGGTTGGCTTTGTCCTTAATTCCTTGTCTCCAATGAAATTACGGAATAAAATATTTAATTTCAATTCTAAAATGTACACATACTTACCTCACTTATCCAGTCAATCGACAAGCAATTGAAGAGAAATTACTCCACATACTTAAACGCATAAACTTCGAAAATTAGTTCTTTCGTAAAAGTCGGTGAACGCCAAACTGACAAGCGAGCTCAGGGTTCGAAATTCAACTCTACTATTACTGAATAACCGCTACCATATAGTAAGTGATCGTCTGCGTCGTCAACGCATAGGCGGTGTGGCGGCAGCTTGGTGGTATGCAGGTACGCCGCCTCTGTCCCCGCAAACCCCCTCGCCCACAAGCCATCATCAAGCTGTAGCGCGAAAACTAAGCAATTTAGCGAATAATTTGTAGAGACCTTTATTGATGGCCCAAAAATTAGAAAAATTTACGTGTAAAAAAATCCCAGATATCCTCAGCCGTTTCAGCGAAAAAGAGGTTTTTCGGGTTTTTCGCTGATTTACAAAAAACGGCTGGTTTCCGGAAAACCAAATTCATACAACAATATTCGCAATCCTTTATTACACCATTACGCCAGCGGAAATAACTTTGTGGCCATGTTATCACTTTTGTCTCAGTTTCGGCTATTTAACTGGCCTAGGTCTGCATGTGTATAAAATCAGTGATATTTGCTGTGTGAGAAAATCATTACTGAATATGCCGAGTATGACGGGTTATTTATATGTTGTGCTTTCTGAAGAGAGGTTATGTTCAAAGTTATAAATTACGAAAAACTGAGGAGAATTACGGGAAATCATCACCGCGCCCGCGTTGTGTGTAATTACTGTTAGCATGTATATGGCTTGTAATTCGATAGTGTAAGTGTAATTATTTCTTATCTCTCTCGTTTTTGAAATTCAG